TGACTAGACAGGGCCCTACCAGCAAGGTTGCAACGACGCCTAATGGAAACACATAAATGTTATCCGATGTAAAAGCAAAATATTCGTGATGATTTTTCGTTACAGGGATTTATGAGTGTAGTACAAGTCGTGGGCGAGCTAGCACTTCGACAGGGTGTCCATGAAGCCAGAAATTATGCATATTTGGGTGAAAAAAGAGTGTCATTGATCAAGCGCGTGCGTCTTCGACAAATTACAAAAGTCGTGATCGGCGTCGGTCCAGCAACTAGTATGTATTTGCACAATAATTTCTCCGCTTGCCGGGAGAAAGGAAGACTTAGGCCAAGATCTTAATGCTGGGTATTCAGAGGAGAATGAGCGTGTTTTGGATGGCTAAGTTGGGTCAGGAACCTCCCGTCCAATATTAACACATGCTGCGAGGCCATAAAGCTCCAAAATAGAAAAAAATGGACCTAACAGAGCGATACACAAGTATTTTTTTTTTATCATCGTGGCCAAAGGGAAAGAAGCGAGTAATGCATGGTTAGTCCTGAGATCTTGAGATCTGATCTTTGGTGTATCTCAAGTTCCACGCAATCGGGCCGGAGCTACTTGATCCTAATATCCCTTGCAACTCAAGCATCGGTAAGTGATATTCGCACCTGTCCCTCTCAAGCCTAAAGATTTAACACAGGAAGAATGAAACTCGCGAATGACGAAGGCGAATTATTTGTGGATCATGACACGGGATTTAGCGTGTTATTTGGTAACATCAAGGATATGCTATATGGGTTTTCTCGGCGGTAATTTCAAGATGTTACATTCTTCAATGTGGTGCTATAAACGGAACTATAGCATCAAAATTACGCGGTCTACTTGTCCTGTCGTAGGGGTCTCGGTAGTTAGGGTCATTCTCTGATACAGTATATGGATCCGGCGACAGGGTATCCGTCTATTGGACATATGCTAGGACTATGTAGTTGTCTTCTGGACAAAGACACCAATTTACGGGCTGAATCTTGTCTCCTGAATCACGAGTATTGTAGTCCGTTGTATGCACTATTTTCCTTTTCGGAATTTCTTCGAATTTTCGTTGAAATTTCCTAAAGGTAAAGAGTGATCACACCGCCTGATTTTGGATACGGTTCTGACCCAGTTTAGCCATACACTTGCGTCTCAGTTGTGCTCCGGGATTAGACTCTTATCATTATCAGCAAGTATGTCCCATAAACCGAGGATCCCGGCGTGCAAGCCTTTCCTGGAACCGAATCGGAATCTCTCCTTAAACAAGGTTTGCATGGCTGTGAAGCAAAATCTATTTGGTATATGTGTTTCTTTGTCCACCTGAGTCGATGTCGGCACTGGCGACTACGACATGCCGCCTCGGATTTCTCCTGCATTGAATTCGTTCTCAGCTCCCATCTCCGAGGATGAGGCTATGCCGATTCAATCTCTCTTTTCAATGTCTTCTTGATCGAGCGGAGTGTGGTTGTGTGTCTACATGGTTTTACGGAGCATGCACTGTTCCCTGGGATGGTATGGTCTGGCGCCGCTCCTCGCTGATCTCGCACTCGATGGAAGCATTTGATATTCCTGCCCTCGTCCGCGGTCTACGAAGCTCCACTCAATAGCGTCGTTATGCACCACCTATCGATTTCTTCATTTTCCGCTTCTCGTTGATTCACCCCATGGCATGAGAATATTATCCCACGAAATAGTCGCCATCTGTAGGAGAAGAAAGATGTCCGATGGAATACACCCACTCCGACGGTCGCCTTTGAGTTCCTACTGAATTATTCTGCCAATTGCGGGTCAGCCGCTGAGATGAAACTACAGCAAGTTCAAAGAAGACATATCTGGATCGTTGTGTACCCACAGCTCCGGATATGAGGATCGCCGCCGGTCGAATAGAATTACGCCGGCATTCAATACAAAGTACGTAGGACTATTGAGAAGTCACAATAACCATGGTGAGGTGCACCTATGTTGTGGCCTTCAACGTATTCTATTTAACCAATACACTCGACTCCGATTCACTTTTTGTTGAGAGCTGCAGTCGAAAGACACAGTGGGAAAACCTTTCCGGTGAGGTGTTTTATTTCACACCCGAGAACCAGAAATGTGGCGAAGTGATACGGTCCTAGGGAATCAAGCACATGAAACGGGTCGGAGTATGGGCGAGCCAGATGAGGATCGTCTTGGCGCCTTTGTCATGTGTTTGAGGGTATCCGTACTATGAAATTAGGGTACCTCATCTGCGTCATGACCTTCGGTAATGTGAGGCTGAGACGAGCCTAGCTCGAAATCTCCTTACAACAGAAGGCTTTCGGCAGTACTAGAAAGTCTGTCAGAATCAGGAAGCGCGGGTAGTAGTACGTACGACCATGTTAACAGGCATCTGGCTGAGCGAAGGACAGCGGGGACGTAGACTCAATAATGCAATATGATGTGAGAAAGGAGAGATCGGGAAGGCTGCGGTCCATTGAGTACGTGATAAGTACCAGCTCGGAACAGCGTCCGCAGGGTGTGCGTGAACACAAGGCTCTTTATGAAACGTCCAGAAGGAGAAAGTAGAGGGATAATGAACCATCATCATCGGAGGGGTACGACGCTGGCTTGGCCAATTTACACAGGGTCCAGGATGACATCCTAGCAACTCGGGTGATGCAAAGCGAGCGACAACTGACAAGTATCAGGCTCCCGACAGAAGGTAACCTACGAACAATCAGTATGAAGAAAATCGTGTTGAGAGACTGAAGGAATCTTATGAAGGGTGGCTTGAAAAAAGTCCACCCCTACTTCGTGGTCGGCAGGACTTTTAGGTGCAGAATATGCGCTTTTTGCATAATTTGGCCAAGGCGCACATACACGGAATATGCAACAGATTCGAGACAGGCATCGTCCCGTCGCGTTGGTCGAAGCGAAGTATAGCAAGTAACCTAATTTTAGTCCTCCGGGTAGTTCCGAGATGCCTCGGTCCGATATCTGGTTGATCGCAAACGACCACCTCAGAATTCTTACCACCCTCAGTCACTACACAGAAAGCGTGGAAAGAGCCAATTCATATGCTATTGCACACAAGTATGACCATTGCAGAAACTGAAGCCGAAATAAACCTTAAACTGACTTGCACGCTGCGCTATTTGCTCATCATCACTGCTTAATTCTCATTGGCTACATCCCTCTGTATCCAATCACAAGCGAGCGGCTTACTCGGACGCACGCAAAAAGACTCGGCTTATTTGTGACTCAGAGTCAATCTCGTAGTCCTATTCTGAAGAGAGGCGACATCCCCTTGGTGCTAACAATGAGAGCCTTGGCGTACTTTATTACTCTGGCCGTACCTTTTCAACAGTCTGACATCGAAAAGGTTGGTCATTCGCCCCCGTTCATTTACGCAAACAACTCTATTACAATCGCGGTCGCTGTCTACTGCGCTGTCCCACGCGTTTTTTGTTTTGGTCATGGATGCCTACGGGTTTCTAGGTGCCGTTGGTGCCCGTACTCTATTACGCTACTTTATCTAGCTAGAGCCGAGGCTCACTACCGCATCCTCGGCAGTCTCTACTCAAACTGGTGACCATGAGAGCCCACAGAAAGGTCGCACATCGCCCGCTGTACGCCGATAAGCTTCGTAGCAGGAGCGGGAACACTCCTGCTGCGACCCCCACACGTCCACGTTCCCGGCTCTCGACCAGCACGCAAAATGCTCCCGCCACAATACTTCCAAGCCACCAGGCCCTTCTCTGATCGCGATCGCGGGGCCAAGAGTGGAGGCGTTCACACATCCTGACGCCGCTCGCGGTACTAACCCCCACACCACCACGATTAAATTGATTCCCAGGCCAAACACAATCGTCATGATCCGGGGAGGACACAATAGAGAATTTACCCATCTCTTCTGTTCGCTCTGTCATTTACTCCCTCCACGACTACGAATCTAGAATCGGAGAACTGTGTGGACTGCTCCCCATGTCCGGGGCGCCCGCTATTCAGTGAGCCCTCCAGCTTGGATTGAGCTAGTACGCCTTGAGGCTGCTGCGTTCCATCCTCAACTGTGGCCGTAACAACAAGTCCCGCAGATAGAAGCGATAACGCGTCCAGTGGCGACAAAGCCGTGTCAAGAAATGATGCATCGTCACCATTTAGTTACCGAAGCGGGTCTCGGGCGGTTTCATGGGATTTCACCGCGGCGCACGTCCGAGTTCGCGAAGTCACCGGTAGGGGACCCCCGTTTCATGCCCTCTGTCTTCTTGGTTCTAGCTGTTGACACAAGGAATACTTGGATACGACATTCACAAGTCGAAGTACTACCATGCTTTGGACCCTTTGATTCAAAGTTCGGCGATCATTGAAGAAAGAAGATTCGAAGACGCGCACGTCCGTTCGAAATAACGAGTTCCTGGGCATATGGTCTCGAAGCTTCAATTTTCAAGTTCGTGGCCAATCCCAGCAGCGCCAGTCCTAAGGATGGAAGATCTGCTCACCCATGTTAAATTTCTAGAAGCCGGTGAAAGTCTTCTTGTCATAGTTTTCCACATCTAGATTTTCTGATTCTTTCGTAGGTACATGGACCCCCGTTTCATATCGTCTGTCTTCTAGCCCTTGTTGACACAAGGAATACTTGGATACTTCTCGTTGAACGTTCTTGACTCCACTTTCATATGTCCTCGAAGCGTCAGTGTTCAGCTTCATGGCCAATCCAGGAAGCTCCAAACTTACACACGGAGAATATGCTCACCCATGTAAAACTTCCAGACACCAGTAAAAGCCTCCTTGTCATAATTTTCCTTATCTTCTAAATGACAAGGTTTGCGATGCTGTCGTAGCGGCTTTCCAAGGGCAAGCTTGGTTTTATTATATCCCCTGCTAAAGCCGTTCTGGATATTCTGTCATTTATACTCATGTGTTTACCTCGGGGGAACTGAGAACGTGCATTGACGCAGCCGAGCGAAGGAGTAAGACGGTACCGTTCGTTTATTTATGGATACTTGTATGCAACAACGACCACGCAGTCATTGTCCCTCTTAGCTCAGTTGGTAGAGCGCGTCACTAGTATTCATAGAAGAAGACATGTGATGACGAGGTCAGTCGTTCAAGTCGGCTAGAGGGAACTACTGCTATGGTAACTCTCTTTTTTTCATGTCTGCCTTGTGGGATAAAAGCCTTTTGAATTTTGATACGGATCCAAGGACCAAAGCCCAGAGAATTAAGAAAGTCAATGAGTTTACTCGGTTTTGATTTGCAAATTACTGGACGATATTCAACCAGCGTCTGTCTTCTCGAAGAACTCAAAACCTGACGTACGTGGAGGTGTACGTGTGCTTCGCTGGAATTGAAAAGACGGAGTGAAATTGACCGGTGTAACGGCAGGAGCGATGTACGGAGGGCGGAGGCAGTAAATTTACAATTAGCTCTTGAAATGCGATCGATCGCATCGCAGAGTCGAAAGATCGGCGATGTGAGTTGAGAATCATGTTCTGATGATCCTCAAGTTGCAACGGATGTAAGTGTATATGTACAGAACAAGCAGCTTGTACGGCCTTCTTAGCTCAGTGGTAGAGCGTGTCACTCGTATATCTCGTGTAGCGTAACAATGACAAGGTCAGTCGTTCAAGTCGGCTAGGAGGCAACCTTTTTGTGCGCGCCCATAATAAAACTCTCTATAAAAAACTACATTTAAAATAACATCGTTACTTTTACTCCAACGAAAGAAACAAAACGTAGGCAAACGAACAAGAAAAAGGACGGTCCAAGTAATTGTGTATATCAATCAACATAGCTGCTACCCTTCTTCTTTCTCAACGACTCCCCCTTCATCACCTCCAGCCCCAGTATCGCGTTCCCAACTTGTGGACGGTCTGCTCCCTCCAGGACCTCCGTTACTCGTGCTCAGAAAGTCCAGCCACGCGCCGTCGACTCTGCCTTGAGTTGGACTATGTGTCGGGGCAGCACCAGCTTGGGCGTTCGTCGGAGCATGTATGGGCCAATCAAAGCCCCCCGCGCCTCCGCCTGCTCCTGCCGTACCACTAGACGAGCCGGGCCTGCCATGGTCGTCAAACAGGCCAAAGATCTCAGTACCCCCACGGGACATGGGTGCACTAAGTGGGTAGCCCGTGTATCGCCTCTCGCCTCCGAATTGGGCAGGCGTGGAGAAGTTGCCTCCACCGCCTCCTCCCCCACCTCCTCCTCCACCGCCGCCGCCTCCGCCACTGTAAAAGGGCGCATGGTGGTACTGCGTGGAGGGTGGGGGATAGAAGCCGCCTTGGCCTGTGCCGCCTCCTCCGGCACCTCCCCCACCACCGCCGGACCCGGAGCCAGAGGAGGAGCGGCTGTGCATTCCAGGTCCGGACACGCTGGGCGGGGAGAGACGCTGCTTCTTGTGGGGATTGGGGTTGGGATGGGGGTGTCGGAGGGACGAGATGGGAATGGAAGAGGACGAGGATGGCTGCTGGATAGGTGTCTGGGGGATGGGCGGCGGCTGTATAGCCATGGTACGGGGCGGAGGCGGCGGGATGTGGGAGTGGTGGGACGGGTGGTGCTGCTGGTGGGGATAGTCGAGCTGTCGGGAGAAGGAGTGGGTTAGTGACGAGAGCAGGATAACGGAAGCCAAGATAAGGGCGTGGCTGGCATGGCGACAGCGAGCAAACGTGGCCGCCATCGTCGAGCTCGACGCCGGAAAGCAGAGTGGATCGCTGACTCACCTCGCCCAGGTCCGCCGCGCCAACGGGTCTCAGCCGCCCGCTGCCCCTGCGTTTTGACGGCACCGACGACACGACCTCCTCCTCGTCCTCCTCCTCCTCTTCGTCGATGATCTTCACCGCGCCAGAAAAGTCGCCTGGCCCACGCGTATCCTTCTCGCCCTCGTACTGCACAGGCCCGTCGTCAGTGACCCCTATAGCAACCCGGAGGAAAAGACCAGCTCTTACGCGCAAATGCCTCTGCACAATATCCCTCGTGTCGCCCGAGCAGTATTCATACAGCTTCAGATGATGCCCCGGGCGTTCCTCTAAAAATAGACGAGCGTCAGCCGAGTGCTCTTGGCAGCCCCAGGCTCGAACACGCACCAAAGATGATCACAGCAACATCCACACTGCACAGCACACCCAGCTCGTACGCTTTTTTGAACAGCCCGTTCTTCCTCTGCGAGTCGACACAGATGCGAGCCAAAAATAAAAAAAGAGTGAAATGCCAAGAACTTTATTAGTCTCGTGTCGGGACAAAAATAGCAGCGACCGTTGGGATAAAGAAAGATGGGAGGGCCAGAGGATGGCGCTGGGACGCCTGGGGGGACGAGGGGACGGCGGGACCACAAAGACGTACCTTTAGAAAAGTCACCGACCGGTTGCGTTCATGCTGCACCCGCACCCAAAAAAAACCCATCAGCGCCCCAAGATCCAACCGTCGCCCACAAGAGGGCCCAGCATCGAGCGAACTCACAGTAATCGGCTGTATCTCAATCTTTCGGCGTCCCATGGCGAGGGGGCGAGGTCTGAAGGTGGTGGTGCGGTACGAGGTGGGAAGTTTGTCGCCCTCTGAGCCCTTGGGTATGTATTGCACTGCCGACATGCCGGGTCCAAACATGCTCAAATACATCTCGGTGGCGGTCTTATTGCTCCCGGCGATCGGGTTCGACGATTTCGGATCTCATTTGTCTTTTCGATCTCAGTCAATGACCGGAGCACTGGGATCAATCCATCAACGTGTCCCCCATATCTTTACCCACTAATTATTTTTTGCGCCCCCTCCCTCCCCCTGGTCCCGTGCGTGTGATCTTCGAATTACTTACATTGTACCCTCGACTCGTAGTAACCCCCGGCCGTCTGATCTGAATCTCCGCCCAGCCCGGCGCTTTCCTTCCCTCGCCCCGCCCCGCAATAAACCCATTTTCGTCACACCTCCCTAGCTTCGCCCAGTCCTGTTTCCCACTCTCAACTAGGAATCATCAACAGAAATCCCTTTTCTGCTTTGTTTGTTGATGGTTGCAGTTCCCGGGATGCCGTTACCCCCGCGATGATATCGTCGGGTGTTTACATAACCCTCCCAAGAGCGCGCGCAATTCAGAGTTCGCGTCCGACCGTCGACTCTCTTCCCGCCTTTCAATCTTCTTCTTCTCGCCTCTACCCTATCTCCACCGACGTCATTCACTCACTCGACGCGTGATCATTCTCGTCCACCCAGCAAGGAAAAAAAATCAATTCCACATGGATCAAACGCTCCCTTCACGCCCTGCTTTCGGGTAACCCATCATCGGAAACCTCCAGTTCGGACGCGTCGAGATACGGAAGCCGCACTGATTATGCATGCACGACATATATGCCGCGGGAGAATACCTCTCTTTTCGGTCGACCCTCCCATTGGCTCTTTGTCTCCCCCCTTCTTCATTGGCCCGTCCATCCCCGTCTCCCCATTGGCTCCCACCCACCACCTCCCCTTCCTTTCCCATCTCCCTTATTCGCTCTCCCTCTCATTTGTATTTTCCTGCAGAGTCCAGACCAACGAACGTACCCCCCTCTTCATTTCCCAGTCTTTCTTCCCTGCCCTGCCCTAGTCTTTTCTTTTTTACTCGGTCTACCTTATCCCCGGGCGTTACGCTAAATCCTTCTGCCCCCATCTCGCTCTCTCTATCCCATCCTATGCGGAGCCTCGTCCTTTCCCTCCTCATTGCGGCACCGTCATGGCTCATGACCACACCAGACATCGGCTCCGTTGCACCCGTGGTAATCCTCCAGCATCACACCAGACCACCCACCACCACGCGCGCGTCTTCCTTAAACGCCCAACCCTTACGTCCCCCCTCTCCTTCCTTCTGCTTGTCTCTCCCTCGCCCTTTCCCGAATATCTTACGTTCAAGGGGGCGCCTCCAAGTCGTTACGTTGTACTCAGAAAAAAAAACCACATACAACTCTTCATCGTTCGCATCCGATAGCCCCGTCCACAAACGCCAACCCCTTCCTTCTCTCGCAAAAACACATCTCCCGGCTCGTATATCATTACGTTCCCTCAGAAGAACCCCACCTCTCCCCTCCTCCATTCGAGCGGTCGAGATCCTGGCAACAATCATTTTCCTTCCAGCCCACGTTCATTTCCACTCTACTTGTGGTTTTTTTTCCTACTCCGAACCGCCACTAACTGTAGTCTTTGACGGTAGGCCTGACACGTGAAGCAGATTGACCTTCGCTTCATCGTTACAAGCCATCTAGTCTTCGAACCCGCCACTAACCAGGCGCCGCTCATTGTCTACGTCGTAGACGATTTACGATAAGATGTTCTTGGCGACAGGCGAGACTTTGAGGGCTGGACGTTGGCTCGAGCAGAGATAATACACATCGCACCCTCACCGAGCAAGGTCCGATTATCTGCATGCCAGGTGACTTACAACAATGAATTCTTAGGGACAGATTGAACGACGAGGCTCTATCACTCGCCAGCCGTTCCCTGTTCACACCGGATCAAGGATCGAGAAGAAAGATGATATGCATCGCACCCTCACCTCGTTTCCTTATCCTCGAATCTGCCACTCTTCCTGTTGCATATCGGCACCACAAGCAAGCACCGATTATCGGCACGGTAGGGGATTTACGACAACAGGCTCTTGGTGACAGATAGAACGGCGAGGCGTTTAGCGTGGAGGCTGAACATAGGCTCGACTTGTGACGTCCTCTCCCTCCGTTACTCTATACCAAGTACACATAACATCGAGCTTCGAATTCTGTTGTATACGAGCCATCACGAAATAACAAAGTCTGATATTTTTTTGCATTGATATAAAGCAGTGACGTCTTTTCCTTCACCAAGTACAAAAAGAACCTGTCTCTAGTACACTTTTATGCGCGATCAAAGAATGATACACTGTTAAACTAACTCAGCACTGAATACCGAAAAAAATTGTCTGGGTCTGTAGTATTCCCTCTAGCCGACTTGAACGACTGACCTCGTCATAGCATGTCTTCTTATACGGCTATACTAGTGACGCGCTCTACCAACTGAGCTAAGAGGGATATTACAAGCCCCTACAACATACACTCTACATTGACAACCCCTCCCACCCATATCATCCCCGACCCTGACCATCCCCAAATTCAAAATGAGCACCCTCCCGAAATCCCGATGCGACATTTATCCGTGCCCTCGTCAAACGCCACACGCCGATCCCCTTAAAATAACACCCGGAGCTGGATGAGATCGAACATGTTTATAGGGTCCGAATTACTTATACTTATAACATAAATACATAAATACATAACTCAATACCTGCGTAGGGAGGGGGGGTTTCGTAAACGGAGGAACATTCGAATTTCGCTGTGGAAATGGGCGGAAGCGGGCCCGACAGTGACTGACCGGCAGTAGGGGACTCTAGACCCTCGGAGAGGCAGGCACTTTCTTCCATTCAGAGGCGGAAGGGCCGGCTAGAACGGTAACCGCGCCCTCCCGTAGATCAATTTGGCGGACGGGTCCCAGTACCACCGACCCTGCCCTCCCCTCCACGTTTTCCGAAAAGCCCAAAGGAAATAGCAGAACGTAAGCAAGAGGACTGTCATTCAGTACGCGTGGGGCCAGTGCCGCAAGAAATTAGACAATCATAAACGCATACTTTATATTCAAGTGTCACGTCTCGGGAAGACTAATGGATAGTTGGACCTGAGAGTGACGGAAGTAATAAAACAGAAGACACAGAGAGAGCAAGACTGGAAAGATAAGTCCCCAAGATGGTCTGGTTAACCGTTCGACTCTGTGAACCCCAAGATTGCACCGAGGAATCGACGGCACTAGAACTCACTCTCGAACTACGGAGTGCAATCAGTATGAGAGTATACAAGCAAATGGAGAAACACCCTTGTCCCGTGGATTCTATCGACGGGAGAGACGATTGGTAAGTCGCTCCAGCCACGATAAGAGGAATGGTTCGACCAACAAACAGGGGCTACTACGGTAAATGAACAATTTCCCAGGTAAAACCACCGCATTCATAAAGAAACAAGTTACTCACACTCGGAGGGGGCTGGCGCCTTCTCGCCGGAATGACGCTACCTCAAAGGGAATAACGAGGCGATCTTCCAGCTCAGTGGATTTCTTCACCCTCCCGAGGTCACGACTTTCGAGGTCAAGACGTCCGACACCGGACCGGACGTCCATCCACGCAAGAAAATATCAAAACTGGAGGTGAAAATAAAATTAGCCCTCCACAATAATAATAGATAATAAGGGCCGCAAAAGGCGTTCAATTCCGGCGGGGCGGAAACAAATATACATACAACCGCAGTCGCCCCCAAGAATAGAATGCAATATAAATAAATAAAAATGAGAAGCCCGCCCCTGGGTAGCCATCATGCTTCGCAGGGGTCCGTTGATAGCTCACCCTCACTATTGATGGCGCTGGGGAAGGAAACGGTGACTGTCCGTCAAGAGCTCTGGTAGGGTGTGCGGGGAGACGGACGACGAAGCAGGAAAATCTAAAGAATGGAAAACACCTTGCTGTGCTCTTCCTTCTAACACCGCGAATTGTATCCTGCGCAGGATGTGTTGCAAACGTCGGAAAGAAAGACAAACTTCCAGTCTTGGTGATAGAACCTTCATAGAGCCGCGCACCATCGCTGCTTTAGGTGATACTGCGGAAGGCCAGCCGTTAATGCGATGAGTCACTGACGCTTTGAAACTTTACAGACTTCATAGTATTGATGGTTAGTCCATGCTGCGCAGTTTTCCAGAGCGATGATTACATCCACCGTGAGCCTAGCTCCACATGTTGGGCAAATGTATTCATCGCCGAGTCCCGAATTCACTTCCGTAGACCTGGAACTTTAGGTTGCATGTGCACAAAAATCCAGTGGCGGAGGAAAATACAAATGATATCTCATCAAAGTTCTCCAATCATCCGAACATTGTAGAAGGCAAGAAGCCGTCATTTTCTCGCTAGATGGACAGTGTCGAAAGTGCTTTGAGGGGAGACAAGGGCTAGTTTTGTGTTCTGAGGCTCGTGAATTGAGCGGATTCTTGAACGTCAGATGAGGAGAAACTCACAATGGAGGTATCAATAACATGGGAATATTGTTCCGCTATGATTTAAATTCACGGAGAAGCAAGCGCAAGAAGCGTCGCACGGGGCTATGTGAACCTAATTCAACAAATGCGGTGTGCCAAGGTTAGGCCAAGACAAGTACCATTGAATAGTATGTTGTATACTTACGTTGGCTTTGTTCATGCCAAGAACCAACGTATGTGATGAAGTTTAAAATCCAAGTTGGTGGAGTGTGGTAAAGCGGTGGGGAAGGGCATCCCCGGACCTCGCCGCTACAAGTCAGGGTCATCATTAGGTTGGATGATAAGATAAGATATTCAATTCCTTTAAAACTTTATCCCCCTTTCGCTTGCCCCGATAGTGACGTCCTCGTGCGATCCTGTATGTTATACGAAGGTGTAAACTGCCAGAGCCTATAAGCGACATGTGACAAAGAGTGATTGTTTGAAGGGCGACTGAAGCTGTATGCATGTGCTACACTCAGGCAGTGCTCATGAACGTGAAAACGGTCGCTCAATGTAACCTTTCTGAGCAATTTCTGAGTTGAAACTCGTCTTTAATGCATGAAGTAACCCACAAAAGGCAGCTTGACATCGGGTACCGGTCATTGAGCCGTGCTCGCCCTTCGGTTTCTTTACACTCAGATTCTGAGAGCGATGTTCGGACGCGACGACGCAAGTCGTGAACGGTTATGACGCTTTCATTCGGTAACCAAATTTCTGTGGCGTTGACCGGGTACTAAGCGACAGTTCCTTCGGTCGATGGCGTTGGATTTAGTGATACACCAGACTTTTGGTAACATATGGAGACGGACATACCGAGACTACGTGAGAAAACTGCCGCCGCAAAAGAAATAATTCGCGTAACATGCATCGTCTTGGGTCGGAAGTTGGTGGGAAGATGTTCGCAAGCCTATCAGCGTAAATGAGTCATTATATATACCACGAACATCGGCCCCATCAACAAACCGGTTATCTGCTAAGAATGAACTTTTGAATTTCATATGCCAATAATACCCTTGATGAAATACACGAATAGCCCGAGTGCTATGTCAGTTATGAATAACATCGTACCGACGAAGACAGACCCTGATCTACCGACCACAGAAATAGGTGCCCCCAAGGCCCGTATGTTAAGAATAACAGTCCGCGCCCCCCTGATCGACATTTCATGAAATTAGACTCGGGCAATAAATAAATTTATCCAGAACATACCTATAGTTAGCTGAGACGCCGGAACGAGCGCTTCAGAGACTCGAAAATGAGAAGATGGATAAGTTCGGCGGACAGTTTCCTTATTGGTGTATTTCGAGCCGTCCGATGCAGGGTAGACTATCATATTAGTCTCCGGAATCGGATTTGGAATGTAGGACATACAGATCCTTCTGGGCGTAAAAAACTGTGTTGATTGTTCAAGTTCCTCATAGGACGGCAATGTACCTAGCTGCACCAGAGTATAGAACATCAAGATCTGAAGAAATAGAATCATTGCAATCTGTCACAGTCATGAGGGAATAGTAAACCATACACACCTCAACCTTGAAGCGTTGAAGTGCCGTACAAGTTGACACGGCGTCAAAAGAAGCCCAGGATTGAAACCTTACACCGATGAAGGAGTTTCGATTGGCTCTGTATGGGCAAAGGCACTGTATAGTACGAGTCTGTTCCGCGTCTTTGGAACTTGACGAAGCCTCCGACATTGAACCTAGTCCTAAGCTCGATGATGACGGAACTCACAGTTGCGGTGGGGCTGTGGTGTCACCAGCCCAGGGATGTGTGAAAGAGCCAAGATGTGGGATCATGTTGGATCGCGGAGTTCCGACGTAGCCAAATGAATTGAAGACTGATGTTATCTTACGATGGAGCGTGGTGGGCACCGCCTTTGCAATCGACGGGATAGCCGGAGTTTAGCTAGGAACAGCACTAGGCCAAAAGTATTACCAGGGAACCTTATCTGGACCAGGGATAACACGCGGAGTCCAGTATTCAATGTTCAACTCGCCCACCCTGTCACCGATCAAGAACCATCGCCTCGGAAGTGTCAAACAGAGTGCTCGTCACAGCTTCGTCTGGCAATTCAATCCATGAAATGGGGACGATTTTAATAGGGACCGAGATGAGCCAAAGATGAACAGGGCCGGGTCCGATGAGATGTGCTTTACGAGAAAGACTAGGAAGCGTTACGCTATTGGGACTAAGCTTTGGTTGTGTACATACAATATGGAGACGATGGAAACCACATCACCAAGTCTAGGGAGCCTTCGCTCCTACCCAGAGTCTCTCAGCATGATCTTTCCTGACCAATAAGACGAGGCCTCCTTGTTCAGAACAAAGAAAACCATATAGGGCAGTGTGCTCTCCGCGAGTATAGTAACAGCAGTGGACTTGAATTGCCATGGTTTAGGCCCAGACTTTGAGCGGGCTACGGCATGTTTCTGCCTGAGAAAGACCATTGTGATTGGTGAGACTTTAGTCATCTTAGCTTCAGTTCAATAAAATAACCAACCCGTAGTTCTTACACTGCCATAGAGACTAAGGATGTGAACGCGCTCGTCGAAGTAAAGGTTGAAGACACACCGGCCCGAGTCCAGATTTTCCCATCATTAGGGCCGGCCACGTGTATTCCCGATTTTCAAATTGAATTTCGCTTGACCATCGACGACAACTGTGTGCATGTTTCTCAGCAGGCATACCCATGCAATCCACCCGGAAGGCTCCCCCAACTCCTGAAAAGCTTGAATCCAGTAATAGTATCAACAATATCGTAACGGTAATGTAAATTTGTCCCATCTTCGTCAGCTCCACGTTTATCCACCAATTTCAGCGTCTCTTGCAGGATCCCTTTGCGAATCAGGCAGGCTATACTGCTTTTTGCATTACATTACATGATTACAAACACATAGATGTCGTAAATGTATGCCTTTGGCTACACCTGGAGACATCTCTTCGTATCAGTCTTCCAATTTATGCGGTTTCGTGCGGT